TTATAACTTTTTATTAGCGATGTTACATAAACTCTGTACAAATGTATTAGTTTTATACATTGTTTAGCTGGTAATTTTGTTTACTTGAATTAAATGTTGTTCATGTTTTATTTAGTTTGTAGTATTTTTAGCACCAACAGTACATTTCCTATGGTTTTGTATTAATCCATCCACCCCTATGTAACTTAAGTAGCCTCTACCATGCACTGATATGAATGTGTCCATTATGGTCTACAGTGGTGAAAGGGTTAACCATTTCATGCAGACCCCTGGTAGATGTTTGTCAAAGTACTCTCAATTATGAACAGGACATATTTGGAAAGGAGTTCCTACTACAGTCAAAGGAGTTCCTACATCATTCAAGTGTTATTTTCCTGTATAGCTCCCAACTCCCCTTGATACCTGTATAGCAAAGAGGACCATCATGTTTTGTACTAGGACGAGTCGGGGCTCGGGGCACAACAACGCTCATTAAACAACTTAGGTCAGTTCTTAGTAATTTTTTAACACAAAACATTGTTAGAATTGTTTCTGGGTTTGATGTTGTCAAAGTATAGATAATACATATTGGATATAATGTTGCATACTTGAAAGTCAATGTCGGTCCAGGTGCAGTACCTACCAAAGTCACACAACCTTGCCTACAGGTCCAGTACCTACCAAAGTCGCACAACCATGCCCACAGGTCCAGTACCTACTAAGTATCAAGTATCAAGTACAAATTCTGAGTGTTGCAATTAGTGGAGTTTTAAAAATTTGATTACAAAACTGCAGTTGTTCAGACAGGATTTTGCCCACAATCATAAAAGACCATACCTCAAATGTGGTTGACATCCATCTCTTAGTTCCAGAGAAGAAGTCACTTTTTAAGATTGCCTCTCGCCCTTTCAATTGTACAACTCTGAATCACCATGTCCATAAAATGCTTCCAACCAAATATACATGTAGTTGATATCCATCTCGTAGTTTCTGCTAAGAAGTCTCTTAAAGCAATATGGCCAAACTGCCCCTCGATTTGTCCAATTTTGAATCCCCACCACCTGTGAATTCTTCAGACCGAAAACACCTGATATCCATGTTTGTTTCAGAGAAGTCACTTAAAGTAATAGAGCTAAATTACCCTTTTCCCACCCCCACAGCTAAATTACCCTTTTTCCACCTCCACTGGTCAGCACATCTTTTGTACATGAGGTGAAATTTTAATCAGTGGCTCAGAAGTTGTTTGAAAAAATTGTTCACAACGGACGGACAGACGTCGGGGTATGGCATAAGCCCACCTTATTCTTCACACAGATAATAATAATAATTGGAGGATTTTATATATTGCTTTTTCCCAAATTATTATCCGTGGTTATAGGGCCTTTGGAACCAGCCAATATCTTTCTCAACTCCCTGGGGAGCATACAGCCAGTGCTGCCATTTCGGCGCTCACATCTAGCATTCAACAATCCCAGCACTGCCCAACCACATACTCATTCACAGCTGAGGCTGAGTAGATTGGAACAAGCAGAGTAAAGTATCTTGCTCAAACATACAACACAGTGCCGTGGCGTGACTCGAACAGGCAACCCTTCAGTCACGAGCCCGGCGTCCTACCACTTGACTACAGTGCCTCTAGATGAGCTAAAAATAAGGAATAAATAACAACAAACATTTTCTCAAAACGTATTCATGATCATTTTATTTGCAAAATGAATTTGTTTGATGCAAGATCTTTTGAAATAAGTAAACATTTTGTACCTGTTAACTGGGTATTTAACAACTTCATTCTGATTAAAAAAAGACAACCATTTTACATGTTTGTTATAAAGCCACACAAAATATAAAATAGTAGAATGCTTTGTGATGTCATATTAAATGAATAGGTGATTGTGATATATTGTAAATAGGCTTTTCAGACATCTATAGGAATATCATGGGGAAAAAAAATGGTCCTCAACATAAGATTGGTTAACACATTGATCTAACTCTCATTATTTATTGAAATCATTTCAAAGATTTTCAGGAAAAACTTGTGGCTTTTGAAATTGTTACGATCAACTTAAGTTGGATGGAAATAATATACAGCAAATACACTTTGGTGAACCCCTATGTAACCATTGGCACACTCGTGAACCCCTAAGTAACCTCGGACACACTCATGAACCCCTATGTAACCACTGACACACTCATGAACCCCTATGTAACCACTGACACACTCGTGAACCCCTACGTAACATTCCACACACTCGTGAACCCCTAACGTAACCTCCCACACACTCGTGAACCCCTAAGTAACCTCCCACACACTCGTGAACCCCTACGTAACATTCCACACACTCGTGAACCCCTAAGTAACCTCCCACACACTCGTGAACCCCTATGTAACATCCCACACACTCGTGAACCCCTAACGTAACCTCCCACACACTCGTGAACCCCTAACGTAACCTCCCACACACTCGTGAACCCCTAAGTAACCTCCCACACACTCGTGAACCCCTATGTAACATCCCACACACTCGTGAACCCCTAACGTAACCTCCCACACACTCGTGAACCCCTAACGTAACCTCCCACACACTCGTGAACGCCTAAGTAACCTCCCACACACTCGTGAACCCCTATGTAACATCCCACACACTCGTGAACCCTTAACGTAACATTCCACACACTCGTGAACCCCTAACGTAACATCCCACACACTCGTGAACCCCTACGTAACATTCCACACACTCGTGAACCCCTACGTAACATCCCACACCCTCGTGAACCCCTAACGTAACCTCCCACACACTCGTGAACCCCTACGTAACCTTCCACACACTCGTGAACCCCTATGTAACGTTCCACACACTCGTGAACCCCTACATAACTTTCCACACACTCGTGAACCCCTACGTAACATCCCACACACTCATGAACCCCTACGTAACATCCCACACACTCGTGAACCCCTACGTACCCTCCCACACACTTGTGAACCCCTACGTAACATTCCACACACTCGTGAACCCCTACATAACTTTCCACACCCTCGTGAACCCCTATGTAACGTTCCACACACTCGTGAACCCCTATGTAACGTTCCACACACTCGTGAACCCCTACGTAACATCCCACACACTCGTGAACCCCTACGTAACATCCCACACACTCGTGAACCCCTACGTAACATCCCACACACTCGTGAACCCCTACGTAACCTCCGACACATGGTAACAAGGTAATTAATACTGCATAAACTGACCAGTACATATGGACAAATCTCATTAACAAAATAATACACTGATAATGGATCATTCAGATGCGACATTCATTAAAAAACTTTCATATATTCACCATCGACATCAAATGTCTCAGATAAATATGATTGTTCAGCAGGATAAAAATACATGAGTGTATACTATTACAAATATAAAGCATCAAAACTGTAAAAACCCAAACCCTCATTATAATGAGTTACACAGCAAATGACTTAGCTCACTGCATCTGTAGCAAGTAATAAGCCCTCAGTCCAGCGCCCAGTTGTCACCAAATAAAGCTGTAAGCAATAAGCCCTCAGTCCAGGGCCCAGTTGTTCAAAAGGTGTTTAGCTTAATCAGTTTTTCAACCTTCAATACTTTCGTCAATATATAAAGTGAAATCTCACAATTTCGCATGTCAATTCACTCGACTAAATATTTGTCATCTGGAAAGTTGTTACTAATTCAATGGTTGTGTTTTAAAGAAACACAGAAATTAAAATGTGCGCTAATCACCTTTTGAACACCTGGGCCCAGGTCTACAACACACAGAGTACATCTGTGACACCACACAACTGATACAACCAAGTCCACCAGGGCAGGGCCTGTATTCATGAAACCGTTCTCGTACTCAAGCCTGGATTCTGTACTAAAATCTACCTTTTGTAACTTGCTTCATACAAGTGACAAGGCCAAAAAATAGTCAACTGTAAATATTGAAAACAGAATTCAGCTTCAAGTATCTTCAAAATTTTTGCAAATCATTGACAAAATGACTTTTTTTATGAAATGAATGCAACAAGAAACTGAACTTGAGAAAAGAATCTGATTATGAAAATGACAACGGTTTAATGAACACCAGGCCAGGTCTCTGCTACATGTAGACCATATATATGACTGTTATTTACCCATTATTGGACAGAACTGTTAAAGCTGACTTTAAAAAGTAAGAAACATCACAAATTTCAAAATCCAGAAAATTTTCCTAAACCTACACCATTTGCTGATTTACCTCCAGAGTTGTCAACCCACAGTTGTGTTTGTTTTATGCATCTGCAGACAGAAGATGAACAAAACTCAGCTGTAGATCAACAAGTGTGGCGAAAAGTGGACTTCATGCTTACCAAGGTTGTGTTGGTGTTTGGATTGAACTATTGGGAAAGCTTGTTGTCGTTGTTAATTTACATTGTCAGTTCGTAGCAGACTACTATGCCTGGATATATCCACCACCTCAGCATATGACATAATACATGTAACCCCCCCCC